CTGATCCACCAGGAGGCCTGGTCTCAGACCGGGCCGCGGGGGCGTTGACCCCCGGAACTCTCTCCAGGTAAACTCTCTCTCCAGGGTGGTGAAACATCTACAATAAAGATACCCAGATGTTGCATATGTCTTAATTTCATCTTGTCGGTATTGTATACCATTCTTGTATAACTTGTCAGACACTGCAACATCATGGAATCTTGATTCTGAGGACATGTATATAACCTTCACGACTACAACAACTACTACTACAACTAGCCCATCTCTTTGGGTAGGGCCTACATCCACTGGGGAATCCCGCCCACCAGTGACTATGCCCTCATCTGCTACACGTCCCATTTCCATCTGGCATTAGTTTATAAGTGCCAGGCTCCTTGCTTCTGCTTCAGAATCTCCACAACTATGGTGCTCTTCGTACCAACTCCAAGGTTGAGGGACTGATTACCTCATCTTCTGTATATAGTTCTACTGTCTTCAAGTTATGTCCTGGAATTTGTATTGATAAAGCCACTGGGTGGCGAAACGTCTACAATAAAGATACCCAGATGTTGCACGTGTGTCTTAATTTCATCATAATTTAAATGAAGAAAATTGACTCGGCATACGAACAAATCGGGATACGAACGAGGTTATGGAATGGATTAAATTCATAAGCCGAGGTTCCACTGTATATATTTTTTTAAGTTCTTTGATACTGAGAGCAAGTTTGTGAGCAGGGGTATCGAAAGTGAAAGGGTTAATATGGCATTTTGAGACTAATAAGACACTCTTAGTGATTTTAATGTGTACCTGCATGCCAGCACAGTGTGTAAGTTTACTTAGGTACACATAAGTATAATTATTAGAGTATATATAAAATATGAAATAAGTTTTAAATACTTGAAATTTTGGAAAGTTTCCAGACATAATGGAGAGATGTGCTCACGGAGAATGTAAACAAACCAGGTGGTGCGCTGTGACCGTATTAGAAAGTCATGCAGGGGGAGCTGTATAGCAAGTTTTGGTCATAATTTGAAATGTCTGTATTAGCAGAATACCATATAGTGAAATGCTGTAAAGCGGGGCCCTACAGTAATTACAGGTTTCTCCTCACTTTATGCAATTTTGCTTTGTGTGAATTCACTTGTATGTGGCAACTGTATTTTTCTTTTAATACATTGGCTGTTTTCCATTGAGGCAGAGTGACCCAAAAAAGAAAGAACACTTTTATCATCACTCACTCCATCACTGTCTTGCCAGAGGTGTGCAGTTCAAAAACTTTAGCATATTTCCACCCCTCCTAAGGAGTGCAGAAACTGTACTTACCACCTCTGGGACTCGAGTTCTCCTTACCGGTTTCCCTGAATCCCTTCAAAAATATAATCTTGCTCACACTCCAAAAGCACATCAAGTCATTAAAACCATTTGTCTCCATTCGCTTCTATGTAACACATTCACTTATTCTTGCTAGAAGTCTGAGCCCCTCTCATGCAAAACTTTCTTTACCCCCCTCCCTCCAACCATTTCCAGGATGACCCCTACCCCACCTTCCCTCCACTACAGATTTATATGCCTTCCAAGTCATTCTACTTATTTCTACCAATAATTTGCTATACTACTGGTATGTTTTATAAATTCACTCTTATGCAATCACCCTAGTACAGCACCACTAGATTTTTTTAACAATATCTCTTTGAATATCACTTTAAACTGATTCATTTTGACATTGATGAGAAAGAATGACCATAAAGAAAGCAGATTTTTGTATGGGAAATCCAGTGAGCATATTTTGAATGAAATTCTGTTGTTAATTTTAACCCTTAAACTGTCCAAACATAGATCTGCGTTTATGTGCATAGCGCTCCGACCTTGATTTTCTCCGTTTGAAAGTACAGTAAGGCCCCGCTTTATGGCATTTCACTTTACGGCATTCTGCTTATACGGCAATGTCAAATTATGACCAAAATTTGCTATACGGCAAGCGGTCTTTCAAATACGGCGCCCCAAACCCCGTTTGTTTACATTTTCAGTGACCACATCTATTATGTCAGGAAACTTTCCAAAATTTCAAGTGTTTTAAAGTTACTGCATATTTTATATGTACTCTGATAATTATACTTATGTGTACCTGTACCTAAATATACTTACACACTGTGCTGGTGTGCAGGTACACATTAAAATCGCTAAGTCTCCCTCTACTCATGACGCCAATACTACGTAATAATAATCAATCTTGGGCACACTAAATGTCTTATTTTACATCAGTATAGGCATTTTCATTAATCCATCTATGATATTTTCCTCAAAATTATATATGAAACCTGTTACCTAGCATATAAACATGATACATACACTCAGAGAATAAAAATTGATGTAAATATGAGATTTGTTTACAAAGCAGCTGTGTAGGTAGTGTCGGAAGAATTATGTTTTCTCTAGTCAAACTGGGGAATAACTGTAGAAAAATATTCTTTTCATATGCCTTTACTCTATATATAGCAATTCACGACCCTTGTGGGTTTAGTGCTTTTTATTAATAATAATAATATTATTAATAATAATAATAATAATAATAATAATAATAATAATAATAATATCTTCATTCACTCTAAAAATGGTGTGTTGCTGTTTGTTTATTCTGTACTAACTTGCACAACTTGTACACAATGTAAGAGTATTTGTATTGTGAGGTAATTATTATTATAATAAAAAAATATTGAGGTAAATGTTTTACAAACTCTTACAAACGTACGTGAATGAACTAAAAGTAGACACATATTAATACGCATTTATTTCACCTGACCAAGTGATCGCCCACTACCTGTTCAGTTTGTGTTCTTACATTGTCTCAACTCTGTATCTCGTTCTCTCTCTCATTTACTCTTTCGTTAACTAGTTGGCTCTCATTGACGATGGCGTCTAAGGTTAGCTGTGATAAAAAGAGAAGGCGTAAGCCTCTTGCTTTAAGTGCCAAGTTAGAGGATGATGGTGTGCCATTCTGATTTTATTCAATAAACACCCTGCCACTCACCTCTCGCACATCAATATTAATATTTTAAGGTAAGTAATAAGTGTAGTACTTTGTGTGTATCTTACCTTTTATTGTGTTTTTAATGCCTATTTCTATTGCTAACTTAATTTAAGTTAGTGTAAACTTGTTGTCTGGCATTTAGTGCATATTTTATGTGTGCTCTGATAATAATACTTGTGGACCTGTGTGGTAGCCGGGTGGAGGGACAACATTACGTTTTCTCTGCTCAGCCATCAGAGAAAACATTTATGAATCTGCGTTTGGCCCAGCCACTCCCTCATTCTGTTTTTGTTTACAATTTTCAGCATGAATTATTCATTACTTCTACCTTCGTTTATGATGGCATCTATAGGTAGTTGTTAGAAATGATTAAATTCAGTGAACAAGGCATGTCGATGTTAATAATATGGCTCTGGCCCACAGTGTAGGTAGCCGGTAGGTGTAGCCCAGGCGGGCTACACCTACCAGCTACCTACACTGACTTCCTACAAATAAATACTACTCACCTCTCTTCCTATATTAAGACTACACATATTTTAAGGTAAATAATGAGTGTACTGTATGTGTATTTTACCTCTCTGGGATGTTTTCAATATCGTATATTAAGTATGAGATGGGGAGCCAGGGCTTCCTACACCTGGGCTACCTGCATCTGACTTCCTACACCTGACTTCCTACAAATAAGTACTACTCACCTCTCTCCCTACATTAAGATTACAAATACTTTAAGATAAGTAATGAATTTACTGTGAATGTATTTTACTTTGTGTGTTTTTAATGCCTAGTTCTATTACTAGGCATTTATATGCCTTCCAGCGATGTCTGCTTTCCGGCGACAGCCTGGAACCTAACTCGCCGTATAAGTGGGGCCCTACTGTATGTAAAAACAACGTAGATTTACGTTCGGAGCACTACGCGAGTGAACATAGATCTATGTTTGGACAGTTTAAGGGTTAAAGTGTCCTGCACCAACTCAAAAGGAAATGGACACCAAGTCAGATGAAGTTTGGTTGCTCCACCACAAAGCTGGAACTAGAAGTGGAATGAGGGAGGAAAGTGTAATAGAGATAGGTATTCACTAGATTCCTGGAGATTGGAAGTGCAGTGCTGGCACTCTGAAGGAGGGATGTTAATGTTGCAGTTTTATAACTCTAGTGTAAGCATGCCTCTGGGAAAATAGTGATGGAGTGAATGATGATGAAAGTTTTTCTTTTTTGCGATACCCTGCCTTGGTAGGAAACAGCCGATGTGTTAATAAAAAAAATATTCACAGGTTTATAATGTGTGCATCTCAATCCAGGCAAAGACAGGCTGGTTGGTTGGAAATAGTGGTAGGGTAAAAGGGCAATGAAGTTTAAGTGAATCTTTTATTTTCTCATTTGTTTTTTTTTGACCAGTTACATTGAAGTATTTGGCCATTTGTTACCTATCAGGTATGTTCATAATTTTTTTATAAAAATTAAGAAAATGTAGAATTTTTTCAAGACTGTGTACTGTATAGGGACTGATGATTAAGTTTTGCCTTATAATTTTTTCTCATTTTTTTGACCAGTATCATTTGTTTTTGTGTATATGATCATTTAGTACATGTATGGTAAGCTCATATTTGTTTGGTAAATATTAGTCAAGAAATGTGGAATTTGCAAAGTCTTAGTTAATGGTACAAATGAACTCATACAGATACAATAAAGCAGAAAATGATGAGTACTGTATATTTTGACCTCATATTGAGGCCATCTTCAGCAAACTCAAAACATATATGAGATGAAATTTATATAATGAGACAGTATGCTCGATTGACACATCTGTGACAGGAACAAGTAACCTTAGGACAGTTGGAAAAACTGTTGAAGTGTCTTATGCATATTTAATAGCTCTTTGATGTTCATTTTATTTAGTTATTAAATTGCTGTCTGTTTGTACAATATATAATTCATAAACTAGTGTAAGCTTATTAATCTAACTCTGTGATTTCTTTTAATCTCAACAGAACTCATCCCTTATGGCCACTGCTGAAATGATTAATATTAAGGATGAGCCAGAGTGTGGATATGATGGAAATTTATGTATTCACCCAGCTGGAAGGTTCAAAAAAATCTTAGCCTACGTGATGGGTGGACTCCTCATCATGAGCACCTTTATATCTACCATTTTGTATCGCAACTGGAAATACGAGCAGGAAATCGTCGGTCTGGAGTGGCGTATCAATCATTTGGACCTGGTACTGAGTAACCACACCTCCGCTGGGAGTAGGGTACGTGAGGCCGGCTTATACTCTACCTCTTCTTCCCTAACCAGCAGGGTACGTAAGTATTCTTTCAGTCCCCTGCAACTCTGCTCTAAATGGTTATCTTCTGTTCTTCAAATGGTTATCTTTATTGGTTGTTACTATTTTATATTATTGTTTCATCTTTGGCTTCTTCTTTACATTGTAATGCTTATGCTTTTTGTATTATCTTTGATCTATTAAATTTGGTGCATCATTGCCTTCTTTCTCCAGTGATACTTTTTTCTTTTCTTCATAAATTTTCCACTGTATTTCTTCCTTTGTTCATCTAAGCTTTATACACTTCACAACTAACCTGCAGTTTTGAGAGAAAACCTTTGGGCGCATGTTGATCTATCCTGGACCATTATCTAGTCATAACTACACGTTGGTTTATCCTTGATCATTATCTAGTCGCAACTACATGTTGGTCTATCCTGGACCATTATCTAGTCACAACTGTATGTTGGTCTATCCTGGACCATTATCTAGTCACAACTGCATGTTGGTCTATCCTGGACCATTATTACCACAAACTGTGTCTATCCTGGACCATCATCTAGTCACAACTGCATATTGGTCTCTCCAGGACCATTATCTGGTCACAACTGCATGTTGGTCTATCCTGGACCATCATCTAGTCACAACTGCATGTTGGTCTATCCTGGACCATTATCTAGTCATAACTACACGTTAGTCTATCCTTGATCATTATCTAGTCACAACTGCATGTTGGTCTATCCTGGACCATTATCTAGTCTCATCTTCACAGTTTGACTTAATAATGGTCCAGGTCAAACCAAGGAGATTGTAGGTTAGTTGTGAATTGTTCCAACCAAAGTATTGTGACTTTTATTCTTTTTTGCACTTGTTAATTTTCATATATTGCATTTCTTAAGGATTTTTTTTTTTTGTAAATAATGAAGTTGCTAGTATATCATTGTTGCCATCTGTCTTGCTTTGGTCTGAATTAAAGGGGAGTCATTCCACAAGTCACATAGTTTCAGTACTTCACACAGATATTTTCGTCATTATACCTAACGTAAATTCCTGCTTTTTTGACTAGTTTGGAACTTTTATATAATTTCCATATTTAAATTGCCATCTTGAAGACAGTGCAATAAGGATGCACTTATCATAGTACAGGTCCTCCATCACAAATCCGGCATCATTGGGACCTGTAGTGTGCCGGATTACTGAGTTTGCCGGATTACAGAGTGGTTAGGTTAGAATACACTTAATAAAATTAACCAACTTGAACACCAGCAAAAATTGAACATTTCTGCTACTTTGAGCTCAATTTCAAGGTACTTTTCATCATGAAAGCAATCAAAATCATGTCTATTTCTGTAATATATCTTCCATTCTATCAAATAAGACCAAAAAAACGAGTATACAACCATAAAAACCATTCAAAAATATACCGCAAAGAGGCGGCTAATGGCTGAGAAGTGAACTCCCTTATTTATCGTCCATCTTTTTTATTTTTGGTGTACATTAAGAAGCATCTTTCCATCATACATTGCCCAAGTTTCAATGAGATAGCCCAACAAACAACTGAGAAAAAAAATATTTACCAAAAATCATGTATGGCAAGCACAAGCCGGGTACTGGAAATAAATCACTTTCACTTTTTTGGGTTATCCTAGGTTCTCTATACATACGCTGCTATGTATGATAATCTGTATAACTGTATTTGTGTATACCTGAATAAACTTACTTATTCACTTATTCACTGCCCATTCACCTATTTCAACTACCCAATAAAGTGGTCAGAAATTAGCAATTTGGCCAATTTCACACAAGTGAAAGCAATCAAAATCATATCTGTTTCTGTAATATGTCTTCTATTCTATCAAATGTGACAAAAAAAAAAAGAGAATACAACCATAAAAACCATACTAAAATATACCACTATGGGGCCGCTAATGCCTGAGAAGGGAACTCTGTTATTTATGGTCTGATTTCTTTCATTTTTGGTGTACGTTAAGAAGCATCTTTCCATCATACATTGCCCAAGTTTCATTAACATAGCCCAACAAACAACTGAGAGAAAAAAATTATAATAATAATAATAATAATAGTAATATCTTTATTTACTGCACGTACATGTACAAGGTATACAGGCCTAGCTGACATCAGTGACATACTACTATATAGAATGCCCCTTGTTATGCTAAGCATTTCAGGCAAATTAGGTCAGTGTCCCAGGATAAGACCCACACCAGTCCACACTCTTCAGGTCACTTGTTCTATCTAAGCTGGAATATTGCTGCACATTAACAGCACCTTTCAAGGCAGGTGAAATTGCTGACTTAGAAAATGTACAGAGAACCTTCACAGCGCGCATAACGGAGATAAAACACCTCAATTACTGGGAGCGCTTGAGGTTCCTAAACCTGTATTCGCTAGAACGCAGGCGGGAGAGATACATGATTATATACACCCAGAAAATCCTAGAGGGACTAGTACCGAACTTGCACACGAAAATCACTCACTACGAAAGCAAAAGACTTGGCAGACGATGCAACATCCCCCCAATGAAAAGCAGGGGTGTCACTAGCACGTTAAGAGACCATACAATAAGTGTCAGGGGCCCGAGACTGTTCAACTGCCTCCCAGCATACATAAGGGGGATTACCAACAGACCCCTGGCAGTCTTCAAGCTGGCACTGGACAAGCACCTAAAGTCGGTTCCTGATCAACCGGGCTGTGGCTCGTACGTTGGTTTGCGTGCAGCCAGCAGTAACAGCCTGGTTGATCAGGCTCTGATCCACCAGGAGGCCTGGTCACAGACCAGGCCGTGGGGGCGTTGACCCCCGGAACTCTCTCCAGGTAAACTCCAGGTAACACCCAGGTACCCATTTACTGATGGGTGAACATAGACAACAGGTGTAAAGAAACACACCCAATGTTTCTACCGTGGCTGGGAATCGAATATTTACCAAAAATCATATATGGCTAGCCCAACCCACTGACTTTTTTGGGTTATCCTAGGTTCTCTACACATTTGCTGCTATGTGTGATAATCTGTATAGAGAAAATAGCTCTTTTTGTTTCAGTTTTATGGTGCAGTACAAGTGTATATTACAGTTAGCCTTGTGCTATACTCCGTTTTCTCTAATATGCCCCAAGACGGATAGGAGAATGGTACTTGTATCCCATATCCTCTTCATACCCCCGTCGAACTGCTTGGTATAATGCCAAATATTATTCATTCTGGAGTATCTAGATGTTTTTATGTTATTTATATTGTTTGTTATGTCATATTAGATTAATTATGATAGGCAAATAAGCCATAGTGTTGATATTAGCATAATAATAAAGCATATTCCCCTGCATCACAAGACTGAGCTCATGGCAGCCGACAGTTTCTTCTTAGCCACCTTATCTTTAATGAACAGTGTACTGTGTAGGTGCTTTGCACAACGAGAAGCATTTTTTTATTCGTTGGAACAATGGCTAGGGCTAAAAGTAAGCAGGTTATAACAATAAATGGAGAAAAAGAAATTGGAATGACTTATGCAGCAAGTAGCACCACCAAACAGTACCAGCAGGTTGGTGTAGCGACCCTGGAAATATGAAATTATTCTAGCCGAAATTAGTGCTGAATAACTGATGGAACTGGATGTCTGATTGCTGGATTTGTGATGGCGGACCTGTATTCAGTAGATTTATTAAAAAATAAAATAAAGAAAAGACAAAGTATGATTGCAAAGGAACAGGGTGAATTTAGCAAGGGTAAGGGATGTGTGGACCAAGTGTTTACATTGAAGCATATAGGTAAGCAATACTTAGATAAGGATAAGGGAGTATATATTGAATTTATGGACTTTTTAGAACAGGCATGTGAGGTGGTAGATAGAGCAATGATATGGCAGGTGTTGGAAATGTATGAAATAAGTTGCAGGTTGTTAAAAAGCTATACAGACTTCTTATGAGGTAAGTAGGTGAAAATGGGAGTATTTTTCAGTAGAAGTGGTTCTTAAAATGCGATGTATGATGTCACTGAGATTGTTTAACCCTCTGAGGGTCCGTCTTGTAGTTCTATGGCTTTGAAGCCAGGGTCCAAGCTGTAGAACTACATCATGAGCTCAGCTCTCTCAAATAAGCTGTGATCAATAAATTTGGGCCTAGATATGAGAGAATGCATCTGTGTGGTAAGTGTGCACCACATAAAACAAATCCTACAGCTCGCAGTGCATAACGAGAAAAAAAAAACCCAACTGTGTTTTTGGATTAAAACAGCAACTTTGGCATGTATTCTTGTGTGGTTTTTATGGTTATATTTGTGGATTCTTGGTCTCTTGTACACATTGTGGCCACAATGTGTACAAGAGAGGGATTTTGATGGGTTTGGGGCTAACCCTGAAGAGCCTATACCAGTTGTGGAATCTATTGTGTCATTGGGGAACTCCATGGGGTTGGATGTTAGTGGGGAGAATGTGGAAGAGTTGGTGGAGGACGACGATGAAGAACTAACCACTGATGAGCTGCAAGAGCATCTGCAACAGCAAGAGACCACAACTGGGGAAACTGCTTCAGAGGAGGGGAGAGAGAAATGGAGGGAGTTGCCTTCTTCAACAATTAAGGACATTTGTACAATGTGGACAAAGGTGCAAGCCTTTATGTTGACACAGCTATTGCAAGCCGTGCTGGTGACTTTTACAATGACAATGTTGTGGCCCATTTTAGGGAAATCTTAAACGAACACCAGATACAGAGCTCTATGGACAGATTTTTGGTGTGACAGAGGTCCAGTGACTCAAGTTGTTCCCAATGGCGTTAAAAAATGAAGGGAAGTAATCCTGGAAAAGGACTTTGTACCTAAAGTCCTTATGGAAGAGAATTCCCCATCCAAACAATAATACACCTCCATCATCTCCCCTCCTCCCATCTCATCACTCATCACTACATCTTCAATAAAGGTAAGTGTCATTTATTCTTCATGTAGTATTTATTCATGTATCATTGTTTTCTGTGTAGGAAATTGTATACTTCATGTGAATTTTTTTTTTTTTAACACTTTTGGTTGT